CTCTAAAATTAAAATAAACTAAATTATTATTATCTAGTATCGATAAAGTACTATCTAACTAAGTATATACTATTAAATTAGCTTAAATTATATTAATCTAATTAATTAAATTACTTATCTTCTATCTAGTTTATACTCTCTTTTTTTTTATATTCTTTCTAATACGAAATAAGGCCTATTCTATAGAATAAGGCCTATTCTATTTAAGGCTAGTTCCGTAGCCGCATAAACCGGAACGACATCAAATAAGGCTTATTCCGCGGAATAGCCGCTAGCACGAACTGGCGATAACATCGCGCATGATTTTCCCGCCTTCCGCGGTGCTGTTACAGGCAGGCGGTGGCCAAGCGCGACTCTGTTCGTGACAACTGGCGTCTGGCCCTGGCCTGAAACCGGAAGGGAGTCGTCAATGCCTTCGGGGTGCAACAGAAGGAGCATGTTGATAGTGGGCGGTCTAAGCGAGCGGCGTGGGAGAAGTGCCTCAGATTAAGAATGGTGTCTGGTGTCAGCACGTCCCGTAAAGGTGTACCTACCTCTGTCCCTGGTCATCCAGTGCGATCAGCCTCGACTCTTGTTCATCGTGTTCTGTTGATGGAGCACTTCGATGAACACGACGCGACGCGAATCGCCAACATCGCGCGGCACAACATTCTCCCGACCGCCAACACCGGCAAATGACAATGAGGGGCACAAGTCTCGCGAGCCGTCACGAAACCATTGACAGCACTGGCGACGATGCAACTACGTAATACTAGCTTTGCCTATGTTTTTAACTGCCCATGAAGCTATCCGCAGTACCCGATCGCTCGTCGGCCTATCTCGCCTACGGCCTGTAGCTACATCAAGTGTTGGTAGACCAAGACGTCCTCTCGTCCTCTCCGATCCTCATACTTGCCCCTCATCTTCCACTCAAGACCATCCTCTCTTCAGTACGCTGACATCCAGAAACATGCCTCTTCAAACCTCAAGCGTCTACCCGGCCACGGATCCAGACTTCGCAAGCTTCCCTTCTCGTCGATCAGTAGTCCACAGCACAAAAGGCATAGTAGCTTGCACACAGCCATTGGCAGCAAAATGTGGTATCGAGATTCTTCAGAAAGGCGGGAACTGCGCCGATGCTGCAGTAGCAGTCGCTGCAGGGCTCAACATGACTGAGCCAGGAAGCACAGGCATTGGAGGGGATATGTTCTGCCTATTCTACAATGCAAAGACGAAGAAAGTGCACTCGCTCAATGGCTCGGGGAGATCAGGAAAAGACCAGACACTGGCCAATGTGAGGAAGAGCTTAGGCCTCAAGGATGGACAGTCGGGAAAGATACCCATGACCAGCGTGCATGCTGTTAGCGTACCGGGTGCTGCTGCTGGGTGGGTTGATACATACGAGAGGTTCGGAAGCGGCAAGGTCAGTCTGGAAGAGATTCTGGAGCCAGCAGCCAAGTTAGGTGAGGAGGGCTTTCCTGTTAGCGAACTCATGGCATCCTGGGTAAGTCTGTCGAGCTTTGAAAGCTACAGAATGTAGTCTCTGACCTGCTGCAGTGGGAACAATCCAACGAGCGGATCCGGAAGGCCTCTCCCAACTTCCGGGAAATGTTGAAGAAGGACCCAAGTGCGCAAGATGGGTGCCGGCCACCATTGCCCGGGGAGATCATGAAAAACCCAACGCTAGCTGAGACTTTCCGAACTGTTGGTAGAGAAAAGAAGGCTGGATTCTACCAGGGACGCATCGCAGAAGAGCTCGTCAAAGTGGTACAGGATCTTGGTGGACACTTGACTTTGGAGGACTTGAAGAACCATGCAGAACTCGGCTCCGAAGATACGGAAGCAATCAGTCTCAAGTTCAAGGTGCAGGACGTGGCCAAGTCGCATGGTCAGCACATGCATGATAAGAGCAGCGAAGGGGTCGAGTTATGGGAACACCCTCCGAACGGCCAGGGTATTGTAGCGCTCATGGCATTGGGCATCATTGAGCAGTTGGAGAAATCGGACAAGATCCCCAAATTCACGAAGAAGGACCACAACTCAACGGCTTACGTGCACGCCGTGGTTGAGGCACTGCGGATTGCTTTCGCCGATGGCAACTGGTGGATAGCAGACCCAAAGGTTTCAAAGGTGCCTACGAAACAGCTGATCAGTCCAGAGTACCTCGCCGAGAGGGCGAAGCTGTTCAGTCCAGAGAAAGCCAGCGACGTCCTCGACCATGGATCGCCTGCGCATAATCACTCCGACACTGTCTATTTCTGCGTCACAGACAGCGAAGGGAACGGCATCTCCTTCATTAACAGCAATTACGGCGGATTCGGTACATGCATCATCCCAAAGGGCTGTGGCTTCACGCTTCAGAATCGCGCCGCGAACTTTGCTTTGCAACCGGAGAACCATCCAAACATTCTAGAGCCAAACAAGAGACCGTACCACACAATCATCCCGGCTCTAGTGACGAATGTCGCAGATCAGAGCTTACACAGCGTGTACGGGGTCATGGGCGGCTTCATGCAGCCGCAAGGACATGTCCAGGTCTTGCTCAACCAGCTCGTGTTCGGATACACACCACAAGCCGCCCTCGATGCGCCGCGGATATGCATTGGAGCTGGAATGCCGGATGCTGGTGACGTGATGGATCGGACGGTGTACCTGGAAGAAGGAATTCCGGCAGAGACTGTGGAAGGATTGAAGAAGCTGGGACACAAGGTCGAAGTGGTCTATGGGCACGATCGAGGTTTGTTTGGAAGAGGACAGATCATTCGGTGGTCTCTGGATCCTGTGGAGGAGCAGGGAGTTTGGAGCGCCGGAAGTGATCCGAGAGGTGATGGGCATGCTGTGCCGTTGTAGACCACTATTGCGCATCGGCCAATTTTGAAAATATGCATTGGCAATGCTGCCGCAACTCAAGAGACATGTGACTGAATCAAAAAGCTCAACTATCCACCTACGAAGAGCCAAGGGCGGAGGCATACCTGATTAAACACGCCCCGGCGACCAACCTTGGGAGCTCAGCTGTCCTCTTGAATACGTTTCCTTGTGGACATCCGACAGCGGTCCATATGCGGCAGCACCAAAACATAGCCGTCAGCGAGCTTAGGCATAGTTCACGATCAGTCGCAATGATTTCAGATACGATTGTGATATGTGGTGTATCAATGAATTGACCGTTGCCATTTATCATGGCGTATCCTTCTGAAAGCAGAGCTGACCTATCGGGAGTTGAAGCGACCACTCGAAAACTGAACTGACCTCTTCAAAGCTCAACTGACCACTTGGATGCTGAAGTGAGCATGTAGATTGATAGGTGGGTTCATCTTTCGACTGGTGCGTTGAGCACGGCCCAGGTCGCCGGACGATAGCTGGAGACATTCTCAGATGCGTCATCAAATGTCCTTATTGAAAGTGAGGTGAGAAGTCCATATGAAAGGTGAAGTGACCATTTGGCGGTTCAGGTCCGGAAGTTCAAGCGACCATGTTGAACTTGAGCTGTCCATTTGATAAAGCTGAGCTGTCCATTTGATAAAGCTGAGCTG